ATGAATGTCCAAAAAGGAAAGCCCTTTCTTTTTGTAGTTAATATAAATTCGAAATAGAAACATTTCATGTTTTTGGAGTGCATTCTTTTTCATATTCAAATGATAAATGAAGTGCTTATACATTTGATGTTTCAATTGTTCAGGTTTTCTCTTTTAAGCTTCGTGGAGCATATAATATGATGGCAAAGCTTCCAAGGGAACAGTTGGAAAGAGGGGTTATTTGCTCATCAGCAGGAAATCATGCCCAAGGGGTTGCATTGGCTGCCAAGAGACTGGATTGTGATGCTGTTATTGCTATGCCTGTTACTACGCCAGAAATTAAGGTACTTTTTTGTGGCTTTTCTTTTATCAATTGCATCACACATAGGATTTTATAAATTTGAATTGCGGGTTTCTTATTTTGCAGTGGCAATCTGTTGAGAGGTTGGGTGCAACTGTTGTACTTGTTGGAGATTCTTATGATGAGGCACAAGCATATGCTAAAAAACGGGCTAAAGAGGAAGGTCGTACATTTATACCCCCTTTTGACCACCCAGATGTTATCATAGGACAAGGCACTGTTGGGATGGAGATTGTACGCCAAATGCAAGGCCCACTACATGCGATCTTTGTACCTGTTGGTGGTGGTGGGCTTATAGCTGGCATTGCTGCTTATGTAAAGAGGGTTTCACAGGAGGTATTTTGCTTCTTCTTATAATCATTTACTATTTCATAATGTCGGAGATTGGCATAGTTCTTAGCAGATGATAAGGGCATGCCACTTCAATTCTTTTCGTTTCTTTCCTTTTTTTATACCTCTTGAACATTGAATCGTCATATTTATTCCAAGACATGAAATTTCATTTGGTTTTTGGTTAGAGCTTGTCCTTGAGGTAGTTGCTACTTGCTAGACAGTTGCTTTGATCTTTTTATTCCAAGTCATTGTCAACTTATTCCATTTCTGGGCCCCTTCTGTTGTCATAGCATAATCGGTATTTTTGTTCAGATGCTTAAGATCTTCATAAAAGCTGCCTTAGGAAAGCTTCAATGAAATGTTATCCATTTGTGGCAATTTTATGTTTCAGAAAATGACGAACTAGAATAGTTAAAGACTTAAAAGCATGCATCATATTCCAGTGTTTGTGGAATTAGTAGACTGTCAAGCCTTTTTTAACAACTTTCTACCTTTTGCAATGCCTAATTTTAATTGGCATGACAAATAGCAACATTGATTAATTAATTCTATTTAAAACTCGGTCTGGTTCACACTGTAGGTAACCCTCGAGGACTGCCAATATCATTTAAATCCATCAGTAGGAAAAACTAATAGACTTGTGGACTTAAAATTCTTGATATGTTTTATTTCATAATTATAGTATGTTAGGGAGCCTCCTAATATGCATAATCCGTTATGTATTTTGTGCTATTAAATATTTTTTCCATTCAACTGTGCTTTAGGGCTGCAATCAATATCGGTCATAATGTTCTGGTCTTACAAGAGGCTTAGCTTTCAGACAATAAGTACAGAATTGAAACTTTATGTTAACTGTTGCAAGCACTTATGTACTAATTCACTTTCATATTTCTTCTTTCTTATTCTGTTCTTTTTTTTTTTTTGATGAGTGAAAACTTTTAGCTCTTTAATTGCTTCAGTTAGTGTATTTTTTCATGAAATGGTTTTTGTAATCAGTAGTTTTAGCTAATTTACACTTCTTTTCCTTCATTCATTTTGTTTGAAATTACATTGAGTGAGCTTGTTCCTTGCTGCATGACATAATTCATCCACAGCACTTATTGTTGTATTACTTACTATACAGGTGAAAATTATTGGAGTGGAGCCTTTTGATGCGAATGCAATGGCATTGTCGCTGCATCATGGTGAAAGAGTGATATTGGATCAGGTTGGAGGCTTTGCAGATGGAGTAGCTGTTAAGGAGGTTGGTGAAGAGACCTTCTGCATATGTAGGGAATTGGTAGATGGTGTCGTTCTTGTAAGCCGAGATGCTATTTGTGCTTCTATAAAGGTATAACTTTCATGTTGCAAAGTTTGCATTGATTCGCCTGGGCTTTTTTTTTTCTCCCAATTGTTAAAATACGGGATAGCACACTGTCACTTATCATACAGCTTAAGTTTCTCAAACTTTATTTTAATTATACCTTAAGTGTTTCTGTCCTTGTATGGTACTGTTGTGAATTAAGCAAACAACTGAAATGCTGGCGTGAAATTACATAAAATCTTAATTTGAAACAAGGAGTCAAGTTTCTAATTCAATTATAGTGTATATTTGGTTGTATCTTTGGTTTAACGTGGATTCTAGATTTGGTATTCTAAGGAATTGGGATGTTCTTTTGGCATGAAGATAACTCGTTCTGGTTTGTTTCCTCATGTTTTGGGTGTTTAACTCGGATTTTAGATGCAGTTTGTCAGTGTGCTATTTCCCTTCTTGGGAAAGGGAGTGTGGCCTGTCCACATTACAATTTGTTCTCTAATTATTTATCCTCAACCTTACGGATGTTAGAAGCCCTTATGACTTTTTCTCTCTCCTTGTTTCTCGTTTAGTCTCTCCAATATGGCTAGTTCAATTGGTTTTTGTTGGATAACCAATGGCCTTCATCTAATTAACACACCGTTTTTGGAATTTTTAGGATTTACAGCTGTAGTGCTTGTGTTACAGAACATGTTTGAAGAGAAGAGGAGCATTCTGGAACCAGCAGGTGCCCTAGCCCTTGCGGGAGCTGAAGCATATTGCAAATACTACAACCTTAAGGGAAAGAATCTTGTAGCAATAACTAGTGGCGCAAACATGAATTTTGATAAGCTTAGAGTGGTTACTGAGCTGGCTAATGTGGGTAGACAACAGGAGGCAGTGCTTGCAACTGTTTTGCCAGAGGAGCCTGGGAGCTTCAAACAATTTTGTGAACTGGTATTTCTGTGCAATTTTAAAGTTTAAACTTTTCCACAGATTATCTGCTTTGTTCATTTGTATTGCTAAATAAGTAGTAACTATTGACTATTGGGATTGACAGGTGGGGCCTATGAATATCACCGAGTTCAAATATAGATGTAGTTCTGATAAAGAAGCTGTCGTATTGTACAGGTTAGTTATCAGTCTGTTTTTAGTGACTAACAAAATACAAAATAAAAAAATCATACCTTTGTATTTTATTTTCATTATGATACTGGTGTATAATTTTTCTCTTTCTGTCGAATTTAGGATTATTCTTTTGCATGGCTATGTTTTATGTTATTTTAATACATGAGCAGTGATTTGGTAGTCAGAAATATGTGAGCTGAGAGGATTCCTTTATCCATGATGTTTTTTGCAGTGTTGGCGTTCACACAGTTTCTGAACTTGAAGCAATGAAGCAGAGGATGGAATCTTCTCAACTTAGAACTTACAATCTTACAGCAAGTGACTTGGTTAAAGATCACTTGCGTTATTTGGTAACTATAATTGTTATTCCTTTTTCTATTTACATTTTTGGTGATCATGTGTGTGCTGGTTTTTAATTCTTTATTTATCTCTTTCAGATGGGGGGCAGATTGGATGTTGAAAATGAGGTTCTATGTCGGTTTGTTTTTCCTGAGAGGCCTGGTGCTTTGATGAAGTTTTTAGACACTTTTAGTCCACGCTGGAATATTAGTTTGTTCCATTACCGTGGTCAGGTTAGCGTCTAGGACATCTTTGAGAAAACTTTCACTTCTAATGGTTTGTGATTAGAACAAATTTTAATCCTGATTTATTCTATCCAACAGGGTGAAACAGGAGCAAATGTTTTGGTTGGAATTCAAGTTGCGAAGAATGAGATGGAGGAGTTCATCAATTGTGCTGATAATCTTGGATATGACTATGAATTGGTAACTGATGACAACAATTTTCAACTTTTGATGCATTAATCAGAGTCAGTTCCAATATTTTAGCACAAGTAGGCATGGCCAACATGCACATCTTAAAGAAAGATATGGAGCAGATGCAAATGGGTCTTCTGAATTCCAGTCCTCCTTAATTACTACTGGAATAGCAGAACATGGCTTTTTCTCATTTATTTTTGTAATTTATAGAATTACAATGTATGTAGTTCAAACAAAAATGATTGGGATTTTAGTTACTGCTGCTTATCAGATGATTAGTTTTTCTTGTTATGTAGTGATACTTTTAAGACCTATGCTCATATGTTTTAAAGGTTGTTAGGAGTGCAAACGAATAAAATGATCAATGAATAATTTGTAATCAGGTTCGGTTTTTATTCGTTCAATGAATAATTTGTAATCAGGTTTAGTTTTTATTTATGTATTTTTTATTAAATTTAACAATCAGAACAATATTTACATAAATTAAATTTAACAATCATGAATAATCAAAACTTGGTGAGACCAGCAACTGGAAGATGCATGTAAACCCAGATATAAGGTCGATATTCCAAGTTAGATTGCGAGAAACTTTGTCAGATTATAACATTTGTAAAACATTCTATATATTAAAAGAAACATTTGTCAACCATGCCATGCATTCAACATTTATGTATGGTTCAGTTGAACCAACTGTGTAAATATATCCTCAAAAGCTTAGTGAGATGATGTTTCCCAACCAGAATACTGAGACAAAGGCTAAGGAACAATACATCTTCAACTCCTAGGTATCCTTTCAAACAATTTTCGCAAAAGGAGTGAGGAGAGTGAATGGACAATAGGTCCAAAAAGGGTTGGGTTGGGTTTGGAGAGCAAATAACTAGTTCTGAGAGTCATTTTTGTTGCAGGCCTAAATATGGCATTGACTGGCTCTTTTGATTGATCTTGAAGCTTTAAAAAATGGGGTGTCGTCCTTGAATTAGTAAGGTCACTGCTGCTTGCCTGCATGCTGCTGCATTGTTACAGTCGATGCTGTATGTTTGGAAGATCATAGAAGCCCTTTGTTGCACCATATTACAAAGGAGGTAAGAGAAGATACGTTGATGCAATGTGGTCATGCTTCTTGAACAAAAATGACAATTTCTTGAAGACACGATAACTCTTGAACGTTATGCTGATGCAAAATGTGGATGCATGTCCAAAGACCACCCAAACTCTTTCTAAAAAGTACCTAAAGCTTTTTAGGTAATTCTATTGTTACCTAAAGAATAATTCGGGGGATCATGGACAAAATGATTACACTGTTTTTTTTTGTAAGCCTAATGGAAATGGAAAAGGAAAGATGCATTGATGACAAAAAGAAAAAATCATCGGCTTTATGAAGTGCTAAACATGCCTCTTCTCCTAAAATAAGCACCTTTAATGTAACCATACTCTTAAAAGACATTTATGTCACTATGATCATCACTCCCCATGGCTCTCCCTCAAATTCTCTGCCACCTGCCCCCTCTTCACCCCATTCACTTCTCTTTTACACCTCTCTCTCTCTCTCTCTCTCTCTCTCTCTCATATCCATAGTGATATTTACTGTTGAGACATTGGGGGAAAAAGGAAAAAGAATATGAGAGTTTCAATTAAGTTACTGGCTTCCTTGGTTCTTGTTCTGGTTTCTTCAGTGGCTAATGGAGACCCTGTTGTTCCTGCACTCATCATCTTTGGGGACTCTGTTGTTGATGTTGGGAACAACAACAATCTCAATACACTGATCAAGGCAAACTTCCTACCATATGGAAGAGATTTTGTTACTCACAGGCCAACTGGAAGATTCTGCAATGGAAAACTGGCCACAGACTTCACTGGCAATGTTTTTTTGAGAACCCATACATTTTTTTCATGAAGTTCTGTCTCCCTCTTCTCTCATGGTGCTGTTCATTCCTGCATGCACAGCTGAGTTCCTCGGGTTCACCTCGTACCCACCAGCTTACCTTAGTCGAGATGCCAGGGGAAATGCTCTCCTGACTGGAGCTAACTTTGCTTCAGCTGCTTCTGGTTTATGTGACGGAACTGCAAACCTATACGTAAATAACTAAGATCCAAATCCTCTCTCTCCCTGAAGTCTGAATATCTAACAGATGGTGAATTGGTTTTGTTAATATTTCTAGCGTGCCATTCCATTGACCCAGCAGTTAAACTACTACAAGGAGTATCAAACTAAAGTGGTGAACCTGGTAGGAAAAGCTAAAGCTAATGGTATAATCTCTGGCGCCATACATCTTTTAAGTGCAGGAAGCAGTGATTATATTCAGAATTACTACATCGATCCTCTAGTCAGAGTCTATACACCAGATCAGTTCTCCGACATTCTCATAAGATCTTACTCTACTTTCATTCAGGTATCCTTTAGCATTCATTTATAGGTGCAATTATTTTTTGTGAAAATAATTATGAGGTACATGCAACTTTAACATATATCTTCTGCAGTATCTGGAACATTTACATGAGAACTTCATGCCTGTTTTGAATCATGTTTGAATCTCTGACCTAAATCCAAGTTCTGGACACCAAGTTACTAGAAATATTATACTGTTAACAGGAAAAGAGAAATGCCTTTGTATGGAAGCTCAAAACAATGTTCGTTAAAAATGAAAGAAAAAGAGATGCGAGCTTCTTACATTCTGGTTTCTTTAAAGCACACAACTTTTTCATTTTTGTGACAGAATCTGTACCGACTTGGAGCAAGGAGGATTGGAGTGACAACCCTACCACCAACAGGTTGTTTACGTGCAGCCATCACCCTATTTGGTGCAGGAAGTAACTGGTGTGTTGCAAGGTTAAACGAAGATGCCATTGCCTTCAACAATAAACTGAACAGCACATCCCAAATACTACTGGACAAGATGCCTGCTCTCAAACTAGTGGTCTTTGACATATACGAGCCTCTATTGAACATGGTCATGAAGCCCACTGATAATGGTAAACCACCTATTGTGCAAAAGAGTAGTTAAATAACAAAATTAATCAACGTTTCAAAGAAGTATCAACTATTAAAATTTCTTTGAATACATACTCTGCTGTCAAAGTTGAAGTGAACAGAATCAACAAGAATGGATTTTCCAAAAGCAATTTTTAATTACCAAATTTCATACTTTAACCAAGGAAAACCTTGTACTATTCGGTAAAATTTCTTTTATGATAACAAGAAACTAATAAATTTGGGGTTGTTCTCTGATCAACTTAAAAAAAATTATATAAATTTCATAATAATGTGGATCCTTTCATTGTTTTAATCAAGGCTCTCCATTACTCTGGATTTGCCAGATAAATGAGGAGATCCATTAACATACTTTTCCATGTGAATTTGGTATTATTGTTGCAGGATTCTTTGAGTCAAGAAGAGCTTGCTGTGGAACAGGCACACTAGAGACCTCCCTGCTTTGCAATGCCAGGTCATTGGGGACATGCTCCAATGCTACATCATATGTGTTTTGGGATGGATTCCATCCCTCCGAAGCTGCTAACCAGATCTTGACAGGCGATTTGCTAGCACAGGGAGTGTCCCTCATCTCTTGAAGCTATTTCCTTCATTGTCATAGAAAGGAAAAAATGTAAAAAAAGAAAAAAAAAACCATAACCTGTTCTTGAAATCTTCTCGTATGTAGTATATTAGATATTACTAAAGTACATACTTCATTTAGTATTTTCACATGAAAAACCTCTTTATTTATGCTTGTAGCAAGGGTACATTGCTGCTATTCTGTTGATCCTTGCCTCAATAAGATGATTATGGTTGTTTTGTGAATAATTTAGTTAACTTGTTCCGAGTATGGCCAGCCGATTCAAGTTGTTAAATGATATAGTAATATAAGGCATTCGGAAAGAAATGTAAACTCTTATTAGTCTGCCCTGACTAGCATACAACTTAGAGATTGGCATTTATTGCATATTCCTACATAATAAAATTTTGTGATTGATGAAATCATTTTCGGAGTTCTGCTCAAGTTATCTAAGTTCTTCCACAAGTAGGCTTCATTTTCTTTTAATCAATTCTTCCATTCCTATAAGAATTCTCAATTTATCCAGACAGTCTCCATTATCTTTAAGTTGGTCAACAGTAGACTAGATGATATTGAAAGACACTTGAGCTTTACAATGGATATTTTTGTGAAAATTTTAATATATTAAAATCCTTATGAGTTGATAGACATAAATTTAAATAAGCAATAAGTCAAACTCAAGTGGAAGTAAAAGTTCACCTGCACCAGTTAAAATATCAGAGGTCCCTAAGAAAGTTCAAATCCTGCATTAGAACTGACTGCGTAACAAAGCTTTGCTTTTAGAGTACTTGACCGCTTCTAGGTTGGAAGCTGTAACCATCCAATAGAGCAAGGAAACACAGATGTGACTAGTTCAAATGCTCAATTTCCCCCTCCCTTATGCAGATATGAGATGTTATATCAGTTGTCTCATATTTTATTTTGTTATGGAGCCTTTTACCATAGTAGTTATTAGACTGGAGAAAACTCATCCCCCATTATTGTACCTTGAGAGTGTTATAGCAGGTAGAAGCTGATGAAAGCCGCTCCAAATCTGGTCCTCTAATTGCTGTCCAAAGAGGGGCATCACTTGCAACCTATACAAAATCAAGATTCCTGACTTAGTTTCAGTTGTTGATAAGATATTAAGATAGTCATGTGGCCCTTTCTCCATTTACTATTCTCATTTAGTCCTGCTCTTTACTATAAATTTCTTTCTTAAAATCTTGGGGAATTTCCCTTTGTTCTTCATTTTTGTATGCTGCAATAAAGTTCGCTAAATTGCTGCCAAATTGCTTAAGTACCACTAGGAAAAGTTTTCAGAGATAACAGCATACCTTATGAATTATGCAGTATGGCTGCAAGTATTTGAACCTGTGTAAAGGAGCTCGAGAACAACTGGTTACAAATTTGAGGAGCAGTGTTCTTTTGGCTCAAAATCCTTCATAACCTTAATCAAGTTCAGAAAAGAGGCTGTATTCATGCAGCAGTTTCCATGATTAAAAAAATTTGAGGGACAAGGCTCAAACATAAGAAAAATCAGTTAAAGTTCCATCATGCCAATACCTCCCAGAAAAGCTTAATCGTTCGACTTTCCTCAGAATAACCACCAGTATACCGTGTGTTTTTTCTTAAATCATCAACATCAATATCATGGTTGGTCCAGAGTGAATTGAACCTTAATCATGCACAAAATACTCCAATAAACAACAGAGTCAAAGATAGAAAGCAAAGGGATAATTAAATAACCAGTTTACCTGTTTCTCACAAAACTCTATGTCATCAAGAACTAATAGCAGATGAGAATAGATGGCAGAGAACAGATGAAGCAGACAAGACATATCTTTTGAAATACCTTGAGGATCATGCCTCAAAGACTATATATCCCAAACATCAAAACAATCCTCATCAACCTGATGATCATCAGCTAAATCTGAGAAATCAACCTCTGCTTGCGATTTGCTGGAGTACTTCTGCAATACATTGAGCCATTTATTGACTCCATCCTTATTGGATTGTTTGAATTTTTTATTAATTCGATCTTTTTTCTTCCCTGAAACTTTGCTTGTACCATGATAAGTATGACTATTCCCATGGAAAATGGAACTTTAAAGTACCCCCAAAAGGTTGCCAAGAAATCCAGGAGTGAAAGATAGCATATTCAGAACAGGCAACGGCCCAATCTTGGCATTGAATGCTGAAAATATTCTAAGTATGTATGAATAAAAATATGCAATATCTAGCAATTCCAAGTTCCACAAATATTCTAAACTGTTTTGAGGCAGGATCTTGGCCTCATATGCATAAGCATATCTTTTTGATATTTCCATAAGCTTTTTAAGATGCCACTGCTGACAAACAGGTCTTAATAGGTCCATGAAGGATGTCTTTAAGGACCCACACGCTGTCTCCTTCTCCTGTATGCTGACAGGCAGTTCATAAGCTCCATCATTACCTTCAAGATTTTGATTCCCCCTTACATTCCACCCAGCATAATGAAGCCATGCCAATATGTTGTCTGCAAAAATAGTTACAACATGGACATAGGATGCATATTCTACACCTTGGTTCAAGGCTCCAGAATCTAGAAAGTCATTGTACTCCCAGCAGCTACGCCTATAATGTTTGCAAGAGCCCAGCCAGCTGGTAGAATCACTTTCGAAGAACAGTCCATGCTAGACTGATCAATGTCTGACATCTTTCGGACAATTTTATCTCTTGAAATCTGTCATCACCTGCCATAGTTTGATCAGTCCCACATGCCTCAAATCATAGAGTTGTGTAATATGTAAAATGGAATCTGAAATTTAGGGTTTTCACACCTGAATTGAAGGGTTAATAGTAAAAGATAGTAAATGTAAATGTAATCTATCATACAAGTAATGGATCTATTGGAACGCAGTATACTTTGAAAATACTATGTCTTACAGACGATAAACACAAATCTATATTCTCATTTAAATACCAAGTGCACTAAGTTTATAGTACTTTGGACATTTGCAGAGAACTTCCTAAAGATGCAATGATGCGTGAAAATAACCGCAGCCAGCCCCAGGGTACATGTATTAGTCTCTATTTAAATTGGTAAGACTGCCAAATATTTGCAAAATCTCAATGCAATAAAGCAAACGCAACACAAAAAATCCTGTTTCCCACAATAATTACAAGATCAGATCAGAAAGCTATGGCTTCGTTGATTTCATCTTTTGCTATATCAGAAAGCCACCACATGGCCTTTTAAAGAACTATAACATTGATTGTCAGTAAAAGTAGACTAAAAAAGAATCGAATCATAGAAACATCCACATAATAGCCAAAAGGACAAGTAATGATTATTAAGCAATAAAAAAAATAGCAGCAGATGCTTTGATAGTATGAATTTAGATAAGCATAACTAAAGGTCACATGCAGAATTTCAAAGCAAATTTCTTGAACATGTATGAGAAAGAGAACATTAAGGAGATTAGGATTTAATAGGGCATTACCAGTAAAATTTGCAAACATGGTGAAATAGTAGACTTGTTCTTTAGAGCAGGTAGAAGAACAGCTGGTAGACGTTGAGTGAGCCAAGGAATTGTAAGTAAATACAAACAGTAATGCTCAGCACAAGAATGCACATCAAACTGACGAGGACCAGTTGGATCAAAGAATATCAGACTAAATGGCCAAATAGCTAGAGTAATTGCACTTGCAGTGATCAAGAATTTATCGTCAGCCTGAACAATACTTTTCACTTTTGGAGAAAAGCAAACTTCCGATTTGCTTATATATATCTTCTCAAAGACACATAAAGGCCACTTCTACAACTTCCCATAAAGCAAACCAATTCTTCAATGCTGCATCTGCATCCCCAATATTGGCATCACTAACAATCTTCCAACTTTTCAGATCAGTTAAGACAACAACAAGAAGCAATGCAAGAGATGTCAGAACGCCAATATGTTAACTCCCTGTATGAGACGTATCACACTCTGAAAGAATGAATAAGCGGAGTGAAATCAACTTTTGTGCTTGATACGTGGATTTGAGTAACCCAATCGAAAATTAACATTTGACTCAGCAGAAAAAATAATTAGAAAGATTGTTAATGTAAATCGATTTAAGCCCTAACTGAATTGACGAATCAAGAGAGAGAGAGTGGCCCTAACCTGATCTTTCGAGGTTCGTCCATGGCTGAGAGACGACAGCTAATCAAAACTCGAATCTTTTTCTTCTTAGCTTTTCCTAAAAAAAGAATCGAATTTTTCCTTGGACGGTTTGATTATGTCTTTTGTGTTTTCTTATCTTCCCACACGCAAGCGTCGCGAGTTTACTTCACTCCCACACTCACAGTCCCTATGACTAATTGACTATTATCCCAATAAAAATGATAATAATATTTAAAAAAACTCTACCTACTTCTAATGTTGCTTAAGATATATTATTATTTTAATTTGAAATTCATCCAAAAAGTACATATTATTTTTATTGATTTATTACTTTTTATAAAAAATTAGTTTAAAAATAAAAATAAAAAATAATTTTAAAATTTAAATTTTCAATCATTTTAAATTTAATTTATTATATTTATGTTTAAAATAAACAATATCTAATTTATTCTTACTGTTTGTAATTCATTTTCATGAATCAAAATTGAGGAGTTTACAACTTTATAAAGAAAAATAAACAAAATAATCAAATAAAAATAAATTAAATTATAAACCATTTAATTATAATTGAATAATTCAAAATTTTTATTTGTTACATAAATCCTTTATAAATATCAAATGATACTTCTACTCTATAAATAAATTTTTAACATTCACCTATGAAAGCAACATGAAAATGTGAACAATCAGAATCAACTTTATATGTTTTTTTCTTGTTATTTAAAATCGCTAATGTAATTGTTTCAAAAAAAAAAATTATTGGCGTGTATTAACAAACGGTAAACGCGCGTGGAATAAACATGTAACTAAAAAGATGTAGTGCTAACATATAATAAAGCGATTATAGCAGCGTAACAACCAAGTTGAAGTAAGAGGTAAGAAGTTATGTTTGGCGGCGGTGATTTTTGTCTGAATCGATGTTCATCATTATCCATCCCCAAAACCACCCACTCCACCGCCACCACTTCCCTCCAAAACCACCGCCAACTCAACCTCCATCACGCCCCTCTTCTATCTCTTCCCAAACCCAAATCCCACCACCGCCACTTCCTCTCTTCCACCTCCTCCCTCTCTCGGCACACTCTCTCCAAATCCAAACCCCCCAGTGTCAATGATATTAATTCCTTAATCTCTTTGCTTCACCTTTCAGTTCAGTACTCCGACGCTGACCTGGCAAAAGCTGTTCATGCTTGTTCTGTCAAGTTCCAAGAGGACACCCATCTGGGTAATTCTCTAGTTTTAGCATATCTAAAGCTGTGCCTTTTTAATCATTCTTTCAAAGTTTTTACCTCTCTTTCTTGCCCCAATGTAGTAACTTACTCTTCGTTAATTTCGGGTTTTGTGAAATCAAATCAAGGAAACAAAGCGATAAAACTTTTTATGAAGATGAGGAATGAAGGTATTGATCCTAATGAGTTTACTTTCGTCTCAATTTTAAGTGCTTGTATGAGAGTTTCGGAGTTAAAATTGGGTTTTGAAGTTCATGGTTTGATTATCAAAATGGGTTTTTTGGATAGTGTTTTTGTAGCCAATGCTTTAATGGGATTGTATGGGAAATTTAATGGGGGTTGGGGGTTTGTTTTTAAGATGTTTGGTGAAATGCATCAAAGAGATGTTGCATCATGGAATACAGTGATTTCAAGTTTGGTGAAGGAAGGGATGTGTGAGAAAGCGATTGAATTATTTCGTGTAATGCAAGGAATTGGTTCATTTAGAGCTGATTTTTTCACAATTTCGGCTGTTTTGAGTGCTTGTAAAGGAAGTAATGCTTTAATGAATGGCAAAGAAGTTCATGCTCATGCTATTAGAATTCGATTAGGGGGTAATTTGAGTGTGAACAATGCGCTTATTGGATTTTATACTAAATGTGGTAGTGTAGGAGATGTGGTGGCTTTGTTTGAAGGCATGCCAGTTAAGGATGTTATTACTTGGACTGAAATGATTTCAGCCTATATGGAATTTGAGTTGGTGGATTTGGCCACGGAGGTTTTTGACAAGATGCCAGAGAAGAATTGCATTTCTTATAATGCCCTTATGACGGGATTTTGCAGAAATGGTGAAGGTTTGAAGGCAGTAAAGTTGTTTATTGAAATGGTGAAGGAAGGTTTAGAGTTAACAGATTTCAGCTTGTGTAGTGTTATCAATGCTTGTGCATTAGTCATGGATGCAAAAACTAGTGAGCAAATTCAAGGGTTTTATGTCAAGTTTGGTCATCAATCAAATGTTTGTGTTGAAGCAGCATTGTTAGATATGTGCATGAGGTGTGGAAGGATAGCAGATGCTGAGAAAATGTTTCAAATGTGGCCATTTGAGCAAGATAGCTCTGTTGTTTGTACATCAATGTTATGTGGTTATGTTCGAAATGGACAACCTGATGATGCAATCTCCTTTCTCGTTAGATGTCAACTAGAAGGAAAAATGGATATGGATGAAGTAACTGTAACTTCCGTACTTGGTGCATGTGGAACTTTAGGATTTGAAGAGATTGGAGAACAAATCCATTGTCATGCTGTTAAAACTGGATTTGTGTCTGATTTAGGGGTGTTAAATTCCATGATTAGCATGTATGCCAAATGTGGAAACATGAATGGTGCAATCAAAGTTTTCAACATTATGCCCATTCATGATGTAGTTTCATGGAATGCTTTAATTGCTGGCCATACTCTTCATAGGCATGGTGATGAGGCTCTGGCTGTTTGGTCTGAGATGGAGGAGGCAGGCATAAAGCCAGACGCGATTACTTTGAATTTAGTTATTTTGGCCTATCAACATACAAACTTGAATTTAGTTGATAACTGCCGTAGGTTATTTCTCTCCATGAGAACCAACTATGACATTGAGCCTACTTCACAGCATTATGCTTCCTTTGTTAGTGTTTTAGGGCACTGGGGTCTTCTTGAAGAGGCAGAGGAAATGATTAATAAGATGACTGTTGAGCCAAAGGCATCTGTTTGGCGTGCTTTGCTTGACAGTTGTAGGATTCATTTGAACACAACCATTGGGAAACGAGTGGCAAAGCACATACTTTCAATGCAGCCACAAGATCCCTCAACATACATACTAATGTCAAATCTATACTCTGCATCTGGGAGATGGCATTGCTCTGAAATGGTCAGAGAGGACATGAGAGAAAGGGGGTTTCGGAAAAATCCTGCTCGAAGTTGGATCATTCATCAGAACAATGTACATTCATTCTATGCAAGGGACAAATTACATCCCCAAGCGACGGACATCTATAGAGGGTTAGAAATACTAGTCTTAGAATGCCTAAAAGCTGGATATATTCCAGACACTAGCTTTGTTCTTCATGAGGTTGAGGAGCATCAGAAGAAACACTTCTTACTCTATCATAGTGCAAAGCTAGCAACAACATATGGGCTTTTAATGACCAGGCGAGGAGAACCCATACGGATTGTCAAGAACATCCTTCTGTGCGGAGACTGCCATACTTTTTTGAAATTTGTTTCTGTCATCACGAGAAGAGAGATTTTTCTGAGGGATCCGTCAGGATTTCATTGCTTTCGGAATGGACAGTGCTCCTGTAAAGATTATTGGTGATTGATCTTTGCTATATTGCAAATTCTGTAGCCTCATTCAATGTTTTAGTACATGCTGAAAAATTTTCACACATCTTTGGCTTTTTTCATAAGTTTGAAGCCACTGTTCTCAGAAATGTATTCAATGTATAAGTTTTGTAGAAAATCATGTAAAAGTTTATTTGAAAAAGAAGAAATTTATATTTCCTGTGTAAAAGATAGCATTTAAAAGTTACAAGCCCTAGGATAGTCGAGCCACTGTTAGGGGAGGATTCAAAAGGCTCAATGGGGTATCTATGACAACTTTTAAGATTGGAAAATAAAAAAATTTGAAAAAAAAATTTCCCTCCTGAAAATTTTCTATGTATATTCTTTTCGTTGATAATATTTCCCACCAGTGGGCACTGTACAATAGATGCGTCCTGGTGCTAATTTTGAAAAGTTATGTGTCACCAATTAGTGATGTTTTAAGATGGAAGTCATTTTCTATGGTGATTTGGGTGGAAGGAAATATTAACGAAGATACCGACAACGACAGGGCATACATAATAATGCAGAGGAGAGTGCTGCGTGTAAGAATTTACGGAGTATTACTAGAATAAAAGGTATAAAAGATAAGAACTTAAAGCCACAAATTGGAGTTTGAAAATGACTCTTGTGGTCTCACTATATTAACCCTCTTTTTCAAGGCAGTAAAAAGGTGTGTAATGAACTGAAAACTTGGCCAAGAGGAACTCTGATAGATAATAAGGCAAAGAAAAACAAGGTTACTTGAATTTGCTTGGAGGTGGAGCCATTAACTTTCGGCTGTTTCCTAAAATCCCAACTCTTATTTTATGTGTTGGTTGCAAACATGCTTTATTTTCCATAAAATTTTAAGGTAAACTCCTTGAGATGTAGAGATGGTCAAAAATTGGTTTCCCCCTACTTCATCATCATTAAAGATTTTTCTGTTTGTAGTGTTCTTGATTCTGGTGTCAGGTTTTGCTTCTCTTTTAGTTCAAAAAGGCTCCAACCAGACTTTATTTTATATTCCCCTGGCTTCATCTTCATCTTCTTCTTCAGACACTAACTCAGATGCAGTAAAGAAGCCAAGTTTACAAGCAAAAGAAAGGGATAGTCCAGTAGATTTGCATTCCCAGGCAGGAGCATCAGTGGATAATGATGGCAGCAGGAAGGAAGCTTTGTCAAATGAAGCAGCCTTTGTTGCTCAGTCCTTGCAAGTACAACACTTTGTGAGAGCTTTTTTCTCTTCAGGGACAGCTTTCTACAGTATCTGCCGCTTATTTTGCCTTATCAATTGCTTTAGAATGATGGCTTAGAAACACAGTTCCTTCTGTGTTTTACTACATTTCAACTTAATATTGTTGATTCTGATGAGCTATAGGGAAATCAAGTCCAAAATTTTAGATTCTTTCCCCTGGTTTATCTGAAGTTTGTGATCACATCTTTGCCTCAATAATTGAGTTTATTCTCCCAAATATGGAAAAATAACCCTATCACAAACACATAATTGATGTTCAATTGGACAACTCCTTATAAATTTTTATATTCTGATCACTCAAAATCTCATTACTTCATTTGGCATTGTTGATTCAGTAGGCATTTTAATCATCAAGATTGGAAAGAGAACATAACAAATAACAATAGAATATCATCACTGTTTTACAATTTGTTTTTTTTTTTTTTAATAATTATTATATAAAGAGTTTTAAAAATATTTTTAATGCTCCATTGGTTAATTAAAGACAAATAGACTTATAGTAGTATAATATAGTAGTTGATATTAATATTTTTAATGGTGACTTTAATTTCAATGAATTCAACAGGGCAAAAATGAAGACAACCCAAATATGTCAATTAGCCAAAACTTCAATTCCACCACCTTGAAAGAAAATGAATCAAGAGATCCTCCTTTGAAGCCAAGGAGAAGCAGAGTCAGCACTAATTTGGATAGGCTGGAATATGGTCTCCGAAGAGCTAGAATTGCCATCAAAGAAGCTATAAATGGGAGTCAATTACAGGATCCTGATTACATCCCCCATGGTCCAATATACAAGAATGCCAAAGTCTTTCACAGGTATTACCATATTTCATGTTCTCCTTTTCCATTAAAATTTTTTTAACGTTTCCTTTGAAGGATTTTCGTTACACTGTAATTTCGTTTTATGATCTTAATTATATTGTGACATGATGGGAATCCTTCTCAAGTTTAAAAATAGTCTACAATTTTCAAATTATTATATATTACTACCAATGAAACATTGAAAAACAGTAGTTTAATTTGTGTTGTTATTAGAGTTTTAGGGGTGACAATTGCTTATTATTAATGAAGTATTTTAATTAAAAAAACTCTCCAGTTAAACTATTGCGGCAGAAAATATAATCCATTTTCGAAGTCAGCAATATGCAAATGTTAAGAGCCATTCATTTAGAATCAAAGAACCCTAACTTAATCTCAACCCAAGCTTCATATTGGCTTGACATTTGGATGCCATAGGGAAGTTATTATCTCCATGCACATGGGTTTTGCTTCGTTAGAGGAATGCTAAATTTGTTCGCATGCTCCAAGTTGATTTATTGGACCACCTCGCCACTCATATGAAACAAGAACAAAGCCCGTTTGGGAAGATTCTCAATTTCCCATGCACAGTTTGGTCAGACGACAAAAATGAAATCCTTTCGTTTTTTGTTTCAAGGAAAGCCCTTAACTTGGAGTCTTGGACGTTGGATATTTGTTTCGTAGTATTGTGGAGATGTTAGTGTTTTCCAACACCAAATCTAAGCCCTGGTTTGTAGCCCAAAGTTTTGAAATCAAGGCAACCTGTGGGTTTGGTGCCGGACAGTAAGACTTGCCCATGTCCAGTTCAAGCCCTATCAGGAATCCAGTAATTGTTGCCGCCATACTCCAGTAACTACCTTACCCTTTTACCCTCTCTCCATTTGCCCATTTATCCAATTTGTTATTTAAATTTTCTTCTTTCCCACAAGAATAAATTAAGCAAGCAGATGTTTCAATTTTGAGGTACATCTGATTAAAATCAGTGTTTCTTTTTATTTCCTGGTGAGGATAGGAAACAATTTCAACGTCATTTTGAGTACTTGGAGAACCTTTTATAGTTTCTATACTGTTGTAGTGCATCCAAGATCCAACTCTAATTTCCAGAATTTTCTGCTGCTTGTTTGCAATGACAGGAGCTACCTGGAAATGGAAAAACAGTTCAAGATATTTGTCTACAAAGAAGGGGAGCTTCCACTATTTCACGACGGTCCTTGCACGCTGTTATACACCATGGAAGGACAGTTCATCAATAAGATGGAGGTTAACAAAAAATTCAGAACCCACAATCCTGAGAAAGCTCATGTATTTTACCTTCCTTACAGCGTCACAAGGATGGTCCAATATATTTGGGTGCGGGGTACGCCTATGAAACGCTTAGGAAGGATCGTCTTAGACTATGTAAACGTTATTGTGGAGAAACACCCCTATTGGAATCGAAGCCTTGGCGCTGATCATTTCATGCTTTCTTGCCATGACTGGGTAAGCTTTTCACCAGGCTTAAATCAGAGAAAAAACTCTGATCCTTAAAAACAATTCCAATGGTTTCTGTCTGAGTACTTTTGTTTTGTTTCAGGGGCCTGCAACTAGTTTTTTCGTTCCTAATCTAGTGAAAAACTCCATTCGTGCTCTGTGCAATGCAAACACCTCCGAAAGGTTCAACCCAATGAAGGACGTATCGATTCCAGAAATTAGTCTCAAAAGCAGTAGGCTACAGGGATTGATTGGTGGGCTTTCTCCATCACAGCGTACAATCCTGGCATTTTTTGCAGGAGGAAATCACGGTTTTGTAAGACCAATACTCTTTAGACATTGGGAGAAAAAGGACCCAGATACTAGAGTTCATGATTACCTTCCAAGAAGAGTATCTTACTATGATCTAATGAGACAGAGTAAATATTGCCTTTGCCCCAGTGGTTATGAAGTTGCAAGCCCCAGAGTCGTTGAGGCCTTGTACAATGGCTGCGTACCAGTGCTGATTTCGAAAAGTTATGTGCCACCATTCAGTGATGTTTTGAATTGGAAGACCTTCTCTGTGACAGTTTCCCTGGAAGATATTCCAAATCTGAAGAAGATATTGATGAGTATATCTGACAGGCAGTATATAAGAATGCAGAAGAGAGTGGTCCAAGTGAGAAGGCATTTCGAGTTGCATGTAATTCCGAAGAGGTTCGATGTGTTCCATATGATACTTCATTCTATTTGGCTTAGAAGATTGAATTTTAAAGTCAGTAATGATCCTGGAGATATGTTGGATTGATGAATCCATAGATTACTGCATTTGTAATGAAATAAGCTTCCACCTTGCTGATGGGTAATGGAATACATAATTCCAGAAGATTCTTTTGCAATTTGATAATGTAGTCAAGTACAATTGCAATTGCAATATATAATACTAAAACTTAGGGACAGTTCCAGACCCTTTATTAAACATAAGATTGAAGAAAGGGAAAAACATCTTCCTGTGGAGAGACAGAAAGTGTCTTGATTTTGATTCATGGAATCAGGGTTCCAACAGACTGCAAAAATTTCTGAAAATTTTAGATACAACCTGGCACGCATTAGCATCAAGTTATGTCAGAACATCCTGTACTCAACTCAAGCATCTATCCGTAATGTCATGACTCCAATCTCCAACCATAATAATGAGATGATATGGATGGCCTAAAAACTTTGGCTGATTCAGCAGTAATTTGGAAACCTGGAATGCATCAACCCCAAAGTAAAGGTGCATGGGATTGCTATAGGCTCAATCTGGTTCCAATTTCTTGTTCCCAAGGACGATGTATGGCTGCTTGGATTAGAGTGGCTAAGCTTCCTACTATTAGCTCGAATAATTTCTCTACCTAGTAGTAACTGCTTTCATTGAATCTGGTGAAACTCGAGATGCTTGTTTTTTCTGTTGTCCGTTTCTCTAAGCAAATCTAGCACAAAATTTTAAAAGCCTCAAGTTGGTGACTACTGCTAGTTTTCAGAATTCCAATGGGTGAAAATAGTCCCAAAGGGAAAAGCACTCTAGTTAGTGATGGACATTGCCTGGAATTAATGCTCAGATTGGGGAGAAATTAGATAAGAGGAAGTATATGGTAAACAGCCACATGAGTTCCAATTTTCAAATGTTTTTGTTGCATTGCTGAGACTTTAAGATTTTAGTCAACAAAACCAATTGATTTTTTTCTGTCAAACCTGGGAACTGGAAGGAAAGTAATGTGCCACGTGGCATGTGGTAGGACATGTGGAAACTCTCTAAGAAAAAAAGAAGTTTGCCAACTTGATCTCTCACAGACACAATGGCAAATTTATCCACCGCTTAATCACATGCAATGGGATTTGCATGCAAGCTTAGCACCTCTTCCTTCATCAGCATGCCTGCCACGCGTCAACTAATAATCTCATTATAACAGGTGGCAACCAATCAGAGTAAACTTTCTTCCCCTACGTGTCATGTTTACAGGATTGAAGCAGATTGCATATCAGATCGATCGCATGCATTTCACCAGCTTAGTAAAATATAAAGAGCCAAAGATCATATATAGATTCCTGGTGAAATATATATAAAATCAGTGTTGCTCTTGTATTATTTGAGTGAGTTCGTGTTTGAGATTTGTTTGAGATTGAGCAGCCATGGCGACGAGGCAAGAGAAGGAGCGAAGAGCTGAGGCGGCAGCGAGACAAGCAGCGGATGATCTTAGGGATGTTAACAGAGAAAGAGAAAATGAAGAAAGAGTTGTCTATAAGGAGGAGTGGGAACATTCGCCGCAGCAGCAGCAACAGAGGCCAGGAGTTATTGGGACCGTGTTGAGGGCTGTGCAAGGTACGCTCGAGTATGCTAAAGAAGCTATCGTTGGTAAGAGCCACGAGGGAGAGGATTTCACAAGGGAAGGAGCTGATTGAGGTGAAGAGAAGACAAGGGAGACGAAAGATAATGTCATTGTGAAAGCGAAGGAAACTACAGATGAAGCTTCGAGGAAGATGGAGGAATACTGTTAGAAGATGTGTTTAGGACTGCTAATGTGGATTCATTGAATGTTTCATGTTGTTCCTGTTTTTCTGGTGTTAGTTATTTTTTGTTATTCATGTTGGTGGTCATGGCTTAATCTTAGGATTATGATTTTAGTGGGTAGTTATTAATTAGGCTTTAAATTGTAATGTTTCTGATGTTAAGATATGCAGTAGTGAGTAAAGTTTTCTTTGCTTCAAAAATAACAACATTTTGGTATCAGAGCCTTCTTCTTAAGGGATCTGTGTGTGAAATTGACGCGTCATGAAAGCTGAAGCCAGTTTCTACGCAATTGCTCCGGCGGTGTTCGACGAAAACAACTACCAGATTTGGGCAGTACGTATGGAGACATACTTGGAAGCTTTAGATCTTTGGGAAGCAGTGGAAGAAGACTATGAAATTCCTGCACTTCCAAACAATCCCACCATGGCACAAATTAAAGCATAGAAAGAAAAGAAGACAAAGAAATCAAAGGCAAAGGCCTGCTTGTTTGCTGCAGTCTCATCCATCCTCTTCACTCGTATCATGTCTTTGAAGTCAGCAAAAGAGATATGAGATTATCTCAAGAATGAATATGAAGGAGATGAAAGAATTAAAGGGATGCAAGTCCTTAACTTGATTAGGGAATTTGAACTTCAAAGAATGAAGGACTCCGAGACGATCAAAGATTACTCCGATAAGCTTCTGAGTATCGCAAACAAAGTAAGGCTTCTTGGATCTGAATTTACTGACTCAAGAATTGTAAAAAAAATTCTTGTTACAGTTCCTGAAAGATATGAAGCAACCATCACTGCCTTGGAGAATACAAAGGATCTGTCAAAAATTTCCTTAACAGAATTGCTTAATGCTTTGCAAGCACAAGAACAAAGAAGACTGATGAGGGAAGATACAACAATTGAAGGAGCTTTGGCAGTCAAGCATCAAAATGTGGCCAAAAGCAAAAGAAAGAAGAAAAAGGATTTTGAAGGAAATGGGGCAAGTACTGCATCAGCCAATGCAAAAGAAAAGAATGAAAATCAGAAGAAATCTTATCCACCTTGCAAACATTGTGGAAAGAAGGGTCATCCTCCATTTAGATGCTGGAGAAGACCTTGATGCTAAATGCACTAAATGTAATCAGATGGGGCATGAAGCTGTTATCTGCAAAAAAAAAATTCTGCAACATGGTGAAGATGCAAAGATTGCTGATCAAGAGGAGGAAGATCACCTGTTCGTAGCTACATGTTTCTCCGGCATCGAATCAAGTGAGAGTTGGCTTATAGATAGTGGTTGTACTAACCACATGACACATGACAAGGATCTATTCAGAGAACTAAGCAACACAAACTCATCGAAAGTTCGAGTTGGTAATGGCAAGTACATAACTGTGAAGGGAAAAGGAACAGTTGCAATTTCAACTTGTTCAGGTACAAAGTTCATTTCTAATGTATTATATGTCCCTGAAATTGATCAAAACTTGTTAAGTGTTGGACAACTAATTGAAAAGGGTTATAAAGTTGTGTTTGAAGATAAAAGTTGCTTGATTAAAGATGCAGTTGGCCAAGATATTTTCAAAGTAAAAATGAAAGGGAAAAGCTTTGCTTTAAATCTATTGGAGGAGGAGCAAACTGCTTTCCCAATCAAAGAAAATATCATTGAAGTATGGCATAAGAGGCTCGGGCACTATCATCATCAGGGGCTGCTGCAGATGAAATCCAAGAATATGGTAAATGATTTTCCAGAACTTGATAATCATATTCCAAACTGCAAAGCATGTCAGTTTGGAAAGCAAAGTAGGAAACCATTTCCCAAGGCAACATGGAGAGCATCAAAGAAGTTACAATTAATTCATACTGATATTGCAGGCCCACAAAGAACGCCTTCTCTGAAAGGTAGTCTTTATTATGTTGCATTCATTGATGATTTCACCCGTATGTGTTGGATCTTCTTTTTAAAGTACAAGTCAGAGGTGGCTCAAATCTTCTGGAACTTTAAAGCCAGAGTTGAGAACGAGAGTGGTTGTAGAATTCAAACTCTCAGATCAGACAATGGCAAAGAGTACACTTCTGAAGCATTCACTCATTTTTGTGAAGAGGCAGGCATCCAACATCAATTAACCGCTCCATACACTCCACAACAAAATGGAATAAGTGAGAGATGTAATAGATTCATATTGGAGATGACACGATGTATGCTACATGAGAAGAACCTGCCAAAGCAATTTTAGGCTGAAGCAGCAAATACTGCTGTTTTTTTACAAAACAGGCTTCCCACAAGAGCAGTGAAGGATCAAACACCTTTTGAGGCATGGTATGATTATAAACCATCTCTGAATTTCCTTAAAATATTTGGATGTTTGTGCTTCACTTATGTTCCACAGACCAAGAAAGATAAATTAGATAAAAGAGCACTTCCAGGCATCTTCATTGGCTACAGCTTAGTTACAAAAGCTTATAAAGTTTTCCAGCCATAAACTAGAAAAATTATTATAAGCAGGGATGTGCACTTTATGAAAGATGAAGAGTGGAACTGGGATGATGAAAAAAAGATGGATCCAACCTTAAAAGAGCACAAGCTCAAGTTTCTTAGCATTGGAGACTGGGAGAATGAAATGGTGCATGACAGTCCTATTAGAGGTACAAGACTACTTTCTGATGTTTATCAAAGATGCAATATTACTGTGTGTGAACCTACAAATTATGAAGAGGCCAAGACGGATCAAAATTGGATTGCTGCAATGAAGGAGGAGCTATTCATGATTGAAAGGAATGAAACATGGGAGTTGGTTGATCGACCCCAAAACAGAAAAGTAATTGGAGTCAAATGGGTGTACAGAACCAAGCTTAATGCTGATGGCTCAATCAACAAGTATAAAGCTAGACTCGTGGTCAAAGGATATGCTCAAATACTCGGTGTGGACTACTCAGATACCTTCACACCAGTTGCTAGACTCGACACCATCAGGCTCTTACTCACCATTACAGCACAAATGAATTGGAAAGTGCACCAATTAGATGTCAAGTCAGCATTCTTGAATGGTTTTCTGTAGGAGGAGATTTATGTAGAACAACCAGAAGGCTGTGTTAAGGAAGGAGAAGAAGACAAGGTTTATCTTCTTAAAAAGGCACTTTACGGATTGAAGCAAGCTCCAAGAGCTTGGTACAGCAGGATTGATGAACATTTGTAGAACTTGGGATTTGTCAAAAGCTTATCTGAATCAACTTTATATGTCAAGCACAATGGAGCCAACACTCTTATCATCTCACTATATGTGGATGACTTACTTGTGACAGGAAACAACACAAGTATTGTGGAGAAGTTTAAGCAAGAGATGATGGAGTTTTTTGAAATGACAGATCTTGGATTGATGACCTTTTTTCTTGGAATGGAAATCAAACAGAATGAACATGAAGTCTTCATCTGTCAGAAGAAATATGCCAAGGAGATTTTGAAGAAGTTTAAACTCGAAGAATGTAAAGAAATGATGACACCAATGAACTCAAAGGAAAAGCTCTGTAAAGAAGATGGAACAGAGAAGATTGATCAGGCATATTTCAGAAGCCTGATTGGTTGCTTAATGTTTCTCACAGCAACTCGACCTGACATTTTGAATGCTGTAAGCATTTTATCTCGGTTTATGCATTGTGCAAGTGAATGGCATCTCAAGGCTGCAAAGAGGGTGCTTAGATATGTGAAAGGCACAAGTGATTTTGGCATTAAATACACAAAGGACAAAGAGATCAAGCTGGTTGGTTACTCAGACAGTGATTGGGGAGGTTCCATTGATGATATGAAGAGCACTTCAGGCTATTGTTTCACACTTGGTTCTGGTGTTTTCTCATGGAGCTCGAAAAAATAAGAAATTGTAGCTCAATCCACAGCTGAAGCAGAGTTTATTGCTGCAACAACTGCTGTTAATCAAACTTTGTGGCTAAGGAAGATTTTAATCGATCTTAACTTAGAGCAGGAGGAAAGCACGGAGATTCTTGTTGACAATCAAGCTGCCATTGCTATCTCTCAAAATCCTGTGTTTCACGGGAAAACTAAACATTTTAATATTAAATTATTCTTCTTAAGGGAAGTACAGAAAGATGGAGCTGTTGTTCTTGTCTACTGCAAAACAGAAGATCAGGTTGCAGATGTTTTCACCAAGCCACTGCCAGTTAGCAAGTTTGAATTTCTGAGGACAAAACTTGGTGTTTGCAGCTCCTAAAG